ATACCGTGTGATTCAGTCAATCGGCAAAGGTCATCCCTCGGAAAAAGAAAAAAAAAGATTTTAAAAATGTTGTTACTGTAAGCATGTACTTTAAGATTTTCAACAATTCACATTGAAATCAACCTCATTTTCTATCTACTCTGGAATTTTGTGTAGATTGCATTACGTCCCGTAAGCGTTAGAGTAAAGCATATCCTAAGATCATACTCACAGGAAAAGATTTCCTTCGTTTTTAAACTCATTTGAATGTTCCATATTATTTATATCATTGTGTCCGATATGTCACGAAACAGTCACGTCTAACTGGTTTTGCATACTGGAATTTCTACAGATAATTTTTTCTAGAAAATCCACTTTTTATAAAACAAAGAAAATGGAAGGGAAAACACGCTGCAAATGCAAGCAAACATCTAGGAGGAGGATGATTGCATCATTACCCTTTATTCATTTACGTAGTCTGTATGAAATGACTCACCAGGAATTATTTATTCCCTTCAAAATTATACAAATATAACGAATTTATTTTATATCAAAATAACTTACCAAGTAAGCTGGGATAAGTCATGATTCATACTAACTTATTTCGATGCTTGTTGCGGCGTTGGAGTCAGGATATAGCTATTTACCACATTTTTAAAATTTGAAGTCGTAGGCTTCCTAGGCCAGTCATGTTCATGATCTTGGCTCTCTGGGTGACGCCGCTTCGAAGATTGTTGCCGACGCAACACTTTGCCGGAATTTCATTTCGCTAGTTTCAATTTTGGTTGTCCTGGCATGTTCTTGACATACAAAAGTCATGGTTTTAGATTTGGAAATATCTCTTAAGATGGTGTTGCCCCATTACTTCTGGTAAATTGTAAACCGCTATTTGTAAGTTATTTTCAGATTATGCAGCAAGTAGTTGATCATCTGCAAATAGCTTAGTCTTGAAAGGCATGCTACCTCTACTTATTCCAGGTGATGTTTGACATTCTTCTATAGCCGAATCTATGTGTATATTAAACAGCGTAGGTGATAATGGATAACCTTTTTTAAATGTATTTATTTATGGTCGCTTTATAACATCTAGGTCATTAGCGAATGCTAAATGTGGAGTAGGCATAGGTTATGCATCGAACGTTTCTTCTTAATTCCAATGGTAGTTGTCTTGCTTCTACAAGTAAGCTATTACATGGGCTAGTTCTAAATGCACCAAGGCTTAAACGGCAAGCATTGTTGATCACAGGGTTTAGAGTATTCAGAACTGTTTTTGAAGCTGAGCTGTAGACTACTGCCCCATAATCTAGTTTAGATTGAATGAGAGCTTTATATTGGTTGATCAAGCATTCGAATTGTGTTCCCCATTTAATGGGTGATACCTTTTTGATAATATTAAGTATTTTTTAACCTTAAGAGCAGTGCTGCTTCCATGAATGTTTGGAATCTAATAGTACGCCCAGAATTTTGCATACATAAGTCCTTTTAAGTTGGCGATCACCCAGTTTTAGATGCACTTCTTCATTATCGTCATTTCTTCTTCTTGTGAACACAATAAACTTTAATTTAGTCTTCGATATTTTAATTCCTGCATTAGTTTACCACTTAGTGATTCTATCTACCGATTCTTGCATAATACTTTTAGTAACCTTAAGATTTTTACCACTGCATATCAAGGTAATATCATCTGCAAAAAGGGATATTTTCAGTGTTTCTTCTATTGTACTGCTTGCGTCATTAATAACTAGAAGGAATAATAGAACACTAAGGACAGATCCTTGTGGTAAACCATTCAACATCTCTGTAAGATGGGACGAACTGTCTGGAATTTTTACTCTGAGGTATGTTTTTCAGGAAATTGATAGTGAATGCTAACATATTTCCTATTATATAAGATTAAGCAAGGGTGGATATGAGTCTATCTTTATAGACCATTTCATATGCTTTTTCAATATCCATTGAAATTACCATTACATGTTAATTCATAGCTAGGGCATCACATATTATAGTATCGATATTTACTAGGAGGTCATTTGTTGATCTAAAGGATCTGAAGGCACTTTGGTATGGTGAGATTAAGTTACGGTTTTCCAGTATCCATTTCAGGCGGTGACAAACCATCTTCTCTAATATCTTGCAGATGTTATTTGTTAGGGAGATTGGACTGTAATTCGTGGGTAGATCTTTATTAGGTTTAGGTATGGGGATAACATTAGCTTCTCTCTATTGGTCTGGAAAGTGTTGTTCAGTCCAAATATAATTATAAACGCAAAGTAAGTACTTAAGCCCAACTTCAGGAAGGTTCTTCAAAAAACTGTTTGGGACCTTATCGTGCCCAGGTGCAGAATTTTTGCTTTGATCTAGTACATAAAGACGTTCTTCCATAAGGAAAGGTTTGTTGTAGTTATCATTATTGTCCCTAGTTAGTAGCAAAATGTCATTTTGACTTAAGTTTCTGCTCGAGGGATCTGCAGATAGAAAGTTTGGGTCAAAATTATTGCTATCTGAATTTTGGACAAACGTGTTCGCTAAAAGGCTACATACGGCTTGAGTTCCAACATGTTTTAAGCCAATACTATCAATAAGATATTTAGGAATACTGGGAGTATTTCTTCCACTAATGGCTTTTATTTTATGCCATACCTCTGATATAGGAGATTGGTGTGTGATGGAAGAGGTGAACTATTGCCATGAATTGATCATTGCGGATTTGAGAGTAAGTCTTGCTAAGGCTCTTGCTTTCCTGTAAGTAATACCATTTACCATGCTTTTGTTTTTCTTGAATTTTCTATATGCTCTTTTTTTTAATTTTTTTTGCTGTAGTACATTGTTCGTTCCACCATGGAACTTGGCGTTTTTTAATTATTCCCGAGGTATGAGGAATCGACGTTCTTGCTGCTTCTAGAATTAGTGAAATAAAGTCATACACTAAACTATTTAACTCTTCAGAATCAAGGTTGAATGGTTGATTAAGAGTTGCAATATTGGACTTGATAAACTGTTGGAATTGTTCCCATTTAGCTTGTTCTAGGATCCACTTAGGCTCACTTCTCAGATTGGAGAATAGATCTAAGTCTGGAAGGGTCATGCTAAAGGGATAGTGGTCACTATCATATAGGTAGTTGTTGGTAGACTATGTAATTCTAGCTGCAATGTCGTTTGAGGCAAAACTAAGATCAATGTTGCTTTCATTTCTATTACTACAGTTAAAGTGGGTTGCCAGGCCTGTATTTAATATGGTAAGATCATTATGATTGTCAAGTCAATCTTCAATAATTTTACCTCTTGTCTGTAATATTAGATCCCCATAATTTGTTGTGACTATTGAAGTCTCCTACAATTATAAAGGGATTCGGCAACTGAAGGATAATGTTATCAAGTTGATGGACATCAAAGTCCTGCCTATTGGGGAGATAAATATTACAGACATTGATATCGGAAATGATTTTAACCTTTACAGCTACGGCTTCAAGAGAAGTTTGGAGAGGAATATCATGCACATAAATATCATTTTTAGCAAAGATAGCTACACCACCAGAAGCAATTTGAGCATTATTCCTATTACAAAAAGATGTAGTATATCCGGGTAGTTTACCTGAATGATTGTCTTTAAAGTTGGTTTCCTGTAAACATAGAATCTGAGGAAGAATACCTTTAACTAATAGTTTCAGGGATGGTAGACGGGCATAGAATCCATTACAATTCCATTGTAAGATATTCATTTCTAGTTATTATTCAGATGTATCTGCATCCGAAGATTCTGATGAGAGGGTTCTCTTAGGAATATAGGGGAAATTACTCTCATTTACTGCAAGATTTTCCTTTTGGCTTTGTGGTTCAGTAAATTCAATGGAATTATTAGTAAATTCATTTTGAGATTTTTCATTTGCTAAGTCATATTCTGTTGCAGAATGTTGGATAGATTTGTTAATACACTGGTTACCTAGATGACCAGACTGTTTAGATAAGAAGTATGTCATATCATCTGTAGAAAATAAAATTCTATATTGGGTACCATCATACAATATAGTGGTTGATTCTGGAAGATTGCTAACATCTTCAGGTGTTATAAACACCTGTCTCCTGAAACTCATATTATGTGTAAATCCTGGTTCAGGAATACCAGCTCTAATAAATGAGATATTGGACTTTATATATTATACTTTTTGAAAATTCTTGTTGGATAACATTATGTGGTATCACAGGGCAAACATTAGAAATTATTACCCTCTTAAGCTTATTAATTAAAGGTCTGGCATTCAGTTTATGATCCTTGATGGTTAACGTGGGGTAGTTGCTAGTCAGGTACTCTGCTGTTTTCTTAGTGTTTAGAAATACACAAACTCTGTTATTAGATATGCGCGACACGAATCTAATGTCATTGGGGTTCATTATTGTAGCGAGTTTGGTAAAATGTTTTTTTATTGAAATACCTTCGTGGGCTTCTATGATAACTCCTTGGTCTTGGGTAGGAAATACATCACTCACAGTAGTGTTGGCGTAAGTCTTCTTTGCTTGATTTTCAGGAGCTGGGTCCATCGGAATTTTGGTTAAGTTGTTGTTTACATTGGAGAACATTATGATTAATTGTCAGCCGCGTTAGGCTGACTTTAAATAGATGTTAGATTAGATTAGTATTGATTCCTATTTGGTGTGACAAAAACACTAATACACAACTGATAACACTGCACTCGTGAACACAAGAGGAGGCACAAACGGAGGTGTTCCCTCTACGATGTCTGGGAGCGAACTGAATGGATAACTTTGACGCGTTGGTTGACAAAAAATGTATTGCTGTACATGTCATTTATATGTATTATTATTTTCTGTTTTACGTTCCCAAATTGCAACTTTAAATGTGAATGTACAAAGACTATTTAAAGTTTTGATATCATTAGCCCCCCCTCCTGGTCACCGGAAACACTACACTGAACCCGAAGTAAAAAGTAAAGAGCTTTTGACACGAATGAACATTATTTTTATGTTTTTTTAAATGCCGAGAAATAATAAAATGATTTTTACAGGTATCAACACCATGGCTTAAGATTCTAACATCTGGCCCAATGTGGTTGACTGTCGCTGTCAGTTGGGCATGTTTGTGGGGCATGTTCACCCTACTGACCCAAGCTCCTACGTATTTCCAGGTTGTTCACGGATGGGGCATTCGGACGGTAAAGTATTGAGGAGGTTGTAATATTGAGATTAGAAAATATGAGTTTTCTCATAATACTAATTTAAAGAAGTTCCAAATGAAATTGTGGCCAATTTAAAATTATATTTGTTGCAGAATGGTCTTCTGTCAGGTATTCCACATATTTGTAGGACAGCATTAGGAATTGGTTTGTCCTACGTTTGTGATGTGATGCTAGAAAGAGGCGTATGGTCCCGTACAACAGTGCGAAAAATTTCTTCATGTGTGTGTAAGTGAGCCAATATTTATGAAACATGTTCTAAACTGATAGATTTATTAGTTATTTTGACGGCCTTAAATTATTTACCATATTTCTTTTTTCTTTGTCAGGCTCTTTGGTTCAAGGAATATTTTTAATAGGTTTAGCTTTCTCAGGCTGCAATTCTATTTTAGCGATAATCTGTCTTACTGTCGCGTTGGCCACCACAGGGGCTGAGTCCCCAGGTCCATTAGCCGCATATGTGGACCTGAGCCCTAATCATGCTGGTAAGGAAAAATCCTATATGAGTACATCTTTCATTTTTTATGACACTGCTATAGACATTTCTGATTATTTACATATTTATTAATAATTCAAAATTTTCTGAATTTCTAAAAATTTCTAAATAGGTATTGTATTTGGAATTTCCAATATGGTGACGGTGGCTCCTGGCTTTTTATCTCCTTTCATTGTTGGTTATTTGACATTTGAAAACGTAAGTAAGCTTTACCTTTCTGTAATTCTAAATAAAGTAATTTTTAATTTTGGATACAACATTTTCATATTTTGTTTGTCTAAGAAACGTTTATCAAAGATTTTATTTTGTTTTCAGCAAACAGCCGGTCAGTGGCAAATTGTATTTTTGATAGCGGCAGCTATGACGGTTATACCAGGTCTTGTGCATCTTTTCATTGGAACGGCAGACACCCAGTCTTGGAACTACAGTGAAGATGACAAAAATGAGGAAATGGATCACCTGAAGCAAGAGTCTTTAGAAAATAAAAGATGAATATTTATCACCACGCAGTGCACATAAAGGTACACGAAGAGGGAAGGCAGCAGGAAGGAAGGTGTGGTCCGTCTCATCTTTGAAATAATCTCACAAAGACCCTCCTTATGCTTATGGAGATGAGTTATTTCACTTCACTGTGGTGGCGAAGGCATTTGTGGCGAGTGCTGCTTCAGTTGAAAAGTTGGTATCACTGAAAAAGAGGCGCCCTCTGGGCCGGCGACTCGTGGTTTCAGATCGCTTCGCTTAGAATCATTTATCGCGCAAAAATGAATTTAATGGACACCCTTTTTTCTTTTGAATTTTCACTAAATTAAAATTTCAAATCTAGTTCCTTTTATTTTAAAAATTAGTGCAGTTTCCTCGTAACGTGAAAATTTCCATTCGTTAGTAATTCTATTACTCCGAACTTTTTTTGTTGAAAGTGAATTCCTAGGATTGCATTGAAAGAGCAATGCGTACCTTGATATTACCTTAGATCTGAGTAAACTTTACGAGCTGGTGACATTCTTATGACTATGCCGAGATTGCTGCTCCCTTGCTGCCTTCCCCAATCACGAATTCGCGCGTCGTCCATACAGAAGGAGGCAGGAGACTCTTTCAACATGGCTTCTGCGCAAGAATAAACATTGAACATTTTCTGGAGTGAAAAATCTGCAAATGAATAAAGTATTGACCACACTGACATTGTTATTTATTTCTAAAAGATACATTTCCTTCAAAAGTACGCAAAGTTTGTGTATCTCCCAAGATATCTAGCAGAGACAGCTGTGCCTACGCAATTCCAATTGTATGAGATTTGGCCAGGTGGGCAAAGGGAAAATGCTCTCTAATCAAGGTAACTTCTCATGAAAGGGCGAAGGGACTTGTACTTAACAATACTGCGACGTGAATAGTGGGCTTGCGTCCCAAAATCCAACGTATGGAAAGCAGCTCCAACGCAGGAATATTTCAAAATGATGACCCAAACTTACCCCGTAGGTAGATCTTAAATACCATACCACTAATCGGTTGAATTACGTAAAAGAGCATTATTATAGTCTAGCGTAGAGTCTCCGGCGGGTGTATTCATGGTAAAAATTCATTAGATTTTTGCATTCATAATTGAAATAAATGTTAAACATAACACAGAGGCACCTGACTTGTCCGTTCTCGTCCTCCACTGTACAGTGGAATCAAATGAGCTTTTGTATCACTTTTTTCTGTCGAAACTTTCCAAAACTTTTTCTAAGAATTCTCTTCGAATGATCCGGAGGGATCCTGAAAGAAATTACCAGTTCCCCACCCTATATCGTAGGCGCGTAATGATGCTTCACTTTCCCCGATTGGTGGTTCGCAAGAGGTCTAATCACGAGGGACGACGGTCACACACTGACCTGTTCTGAGGCTCGGCAGAGCGCTGCTGTCCTCGGCCTCCTAACCTCTTGGTCCTGGAATAAGGGTTGGTGTGGTTAGCATGAAGAGATCCCTTCGCCGTATATTGTGGTCTTCATAACCTTAGGATGGGCTTTCTCATCATCACACAGCAATAGATAATGGGGTATTTGAAAGGGAAGCGCACAATTATAATTTTAGGCCAGATGGGAATCGAACCCGGGGTTGCGCCTTAGAAAGCGAGCACGCTAACGAACGAGCTTCAGAGAGCCTAGGACGGACATATCACGTTATACAGACGCACGTTATCAGATTAAAATGCGAATGATTTGAAACAACTACAAGTCCAATTACAGGCTGTCCCTAACGACCCTAGCAATATAATCAATTTATTTATCGTCACTACGTTATACAGACGTTACATTACAAACTTATGAGGAATATTGAGGAATCGAAACGATCGCTTTTGCCAATGAACATAGAGTGGGAAATAGCAAATAACATGTGACATTTGCGTCTGATTTGTAGGCAACACCTTAAACACACGTGTTCGGCAGGTCACGACCTGACGCTGCCAAGGAGAATTCATGTACCACTTCCGAACACCCACAAGTATGGTTTGAGTAACTATCAGAGTCAAATGGCACTAGGGAAACTACATTACTTGCAATTTCTTTGGCAAAACAAAAGTTGATCCTTCTCCATACCCTACAAGTTTTTAACATTAATACTAGTATAACATTTGTATAATACAGTGACGATAGATTAATTGATTATACTGCTACCATCGTTAGCCCCGTAAGTGCAGCGCATGTTTTACTCGCGTGGGATGGCGGAGTTCTTCTCCCGCTGGATGTTCAATTCTAGCCCCAGCCCACGCGACGGCTTGCGGAGTCTCCCTATCCAGGTATCTACTACCAGAGGAACATCGTTCCAATGGGAACAAGATCTAAGCATCTCACTGGCCTCCAGGCATGTATTGTAGTGTGCGGTACGTAAGTGTGTGTAAGTACGGAGTGAGTATACAACAAGTTAGAGAGAGGACAGCTTACGCTGGCTCCGTTGCTCTTTTGTTATGGTAGCCATACACGTTACGATATACTTGCGCAAGTTTAAACAAGCGCAAACATACGTATTTTCCAACTGACTACAGATGGCTCAAGTACGCTTGAACAGTACCATTTCTGTAATGAGCGTCCATGTTTATTGTGCAGCTATGGATGACGATTTGGTCATAGCTGGATTAATATTTGCTACAAAAACGTTGAGCTGCAAAAGACTTGAAAGAAATCGTTCTTTATGGTGTAAAGACTGGTTACGAAAAAGAGAGCAGCATTCGGACAATTTATTAACTGAATTGAAATATGCACCCCTGGCATAACTACTTATGAATGAATTATATATTATGAATACATTATGAAATATATTATGAAATATATTAATGAATTCCTCCAAAATCTCTCGCATGCGTCTCATCACAAGTCGTCATTTTTGGCATGTAATCTGACTGCAAGATGTACGCACTTATCAAAAACAGTTTGTCTACTACTGAAACGTAACGTGTGCTGTCACAGACGTTCAAGTAAACTTGCGCAAACGCAGCATTGCACAAGTTTTGCAATCGAAATTTGCAACGATCTTTAAACTTGTACAAGTCTATAAATTAGTGCGATAATCTTCCAACACACGTTAGTATATACTTGTACAAGTCTAAACTAGCGCAAGTATATCGTAACGTGTATGGCTACCATTAGGGTTCTGCTCGGGCATTCGCCTGATGTTGATCGCAGAAAGAACGGTAAACTACGATCAGAACTAGCTGGCCGCTAATATTCTCCTTCAGACTACTTGGACCTCAGAATCCATGCAGAAAGCGGAGATGAATTCCAAAATCAAACAATACCCCCCTTCTTGTGTAATAAAATTGGTATAATATTAATTTTGCACAGTTTTTCTGAAAACCAGTATTCGCGTAGAACAATTTACAAGAAAATGAATGGAGCAAACGGAACTATTCTCCGACGAATACTTTTGGAGATATAGACGACAGAAAGTGGAGATGACTTCCAAAATCAAACAATACCCACCCACTGCATGACAAAATTGGAAAAATATTTTTGTTGAGTCTTATTGAAAACCAGTATTAAGGTAAAACAATTTACAAATAAATTCATAAATCAAATCGCCAGAGTCTTTCTAAAGACCAGTATTAACATAGAACAATTTACGACAAAATAAATAAAGCAAATAAAACTCGACTCCGAGGAATTCTTTTAGATCTAGGTGGAGAACGCAGAGCTGAACTGCAAAAACAAACAATATCCCCCCCCCCCATTGCGTGACAAAATTGGAAAAATAGGTTTGCAAAGTCTTTCTGAAAACCATAATTCAGATATAATAATTGAAGAGGAATTGAATGGAGCCAGCCGGACTCCACTACGATGAATACTTTCGGAGATATGGACGAAAGAAATCGGAGCTGAACGTAAAAAACAAATAATAATAATAATAATAATAATATTAATAATAATAATAATAATAATAATAATAATAATAATAATAGCGAGACAAAATTGGAAAAATATTAATTTTGCAGTCTTTCTGAAAACCAGTATTCAGAAAATGAATAGAACGAACGAAATGAATAGAAACGAGAAAATGAATAGAACAAACTGAACTCCTTCAGACAAAGTTGGAAAAATATTTATTTCGCAAAGTCTTTCTGAAAACCAGTATTCACATAGAACAATTTACGAGAAAATGAATAATACAAATTAAATCCCAATCCAACGAATACTTTCGGACATATAGACGAAAGAAAGCCTGAAGTGCAGAAACAAACAATACCCCCACATTTGCGTGACAAAATTCGAAAAATAATAATTTTGAGTCTTTCTACAAACAGATTTTCAGGTAGAAAAATTTACGAGAAAAGGAATAGGGTAAACCGGACGCAACTTTAAAGAATACTTTCGGAGATGAAGACGAAAGAAGGCGGAGCTAACTCCAAAATAAAAAATACCTTCCCCTAAAAGAAAATGAGAAAATTGGAAAAAATATAATAAGATGACTCTTTCTGAAAACCAGTATTCAGGAAGAACAATTTACGACGAAATGAATGGAGCAAACCAGACTCAACTGCGACGATAACTTTCAGAGATATAGGCGAAAGACATCGGAGGTCAAGTGCAAAAACAAACAATACCCCCCCCCCATTACTTGACAAAATAGGAAAGATATTGTTTTGCAGCCTCTCTGTAAACAACTATTTATGAAGAACAAATTACATGAATAAGAATAAGACTAATTGGACTCCAGTCTGACGAATATTGTGGGAGATATAAGGTAATGAAAGCGGAGCTGAACTACAAAATAAAAATGACCCCCCCCCCACCATCGCGTGACAAAATTAGACAAATATTAAATTTGCAAAGTCTTGCTGAAAACCAGTTTTCAGGTAGAAAAATTTACGAGAAAATGAACGGAGCTAACCGGACTCGCCTCTGACGAATACTTTCGGAGATAAAGAAAATGGAACTGAAGTGAAAAAAACAAACAATACTCCTCTTTGCGTGACAATATTGGAAAAATATTTCTTTTAGAATATTTCTGAAAACCAATATTCA